ACATGGATTTTGTGGAGTTTTTTTCGCGGTTCTTTTTCCTTCGTATCAAAGATAAGGGCAATTGTTTTTAATAAAAATCTCCTTTCAACACAATTGACCTTTCATGCTTACAAAGATGCAAAAAAAAAAATTAAAAGGAAAAACCTCTTGAAACCTGGATACTCACATTCATAATCATTGTAACTTGATAGTGAAGACACCAGACCATCTTTTAACAAATACTCAGCCAATTTCTCTATCTTGGCTTTCTTGTACAACTTGGTTTTCTTTCCATAAGGACACCTGGTTTGAAATTCTAAAATTGAAAAAAAAATGAGTCATCAGTTTTATCATTCTGGAAGCAACTTGTTCCCTTCCTGTTTGGAGAATTAAAGGAAAATGGGAAAATTAAAAAAACAAAAATCAAACAGTTAAATTAAAAATATTGTCTTTTAACCATTGTTCATCCTAAAAGACAAGCAACTTTATTACCTTTGAGTGAAATTTCAATCGGAGAAACCCAAGAAGGAGGCAGATCAAAATCAGATCCATCATCATCATTCTGAAAAACAAAAAAACAAACATTGATTCCAGAATTTTCAACAAACAAATTTTCCATGTCAACACACTGAAACTTGAAAGATTTATGCTGTATTCAGATCTGTTTTGGTTAAAATTAATAAGAAAAAAATCTTGACTAAGTCGTTTTTTGCATCTGTGTACTCATTTTGGATTCATAAAAGCATCTAATTAAATAAAGCAATTCATATTTTTGCTTTGCTATCTCCCCCATAATGTTACCATCTTTAAGTACTTTCACCACCCCCAGGAGTCCAAATATATTTAGTCTGGCTATCCCTTTTACCACCATACACAGAATACAGTACCTCTTCATCATCAATGTCAAGAGGATCTGCTTCATCCACAGGAATCATCAACAGAGGTTTGTCTGTAGTGGAAAACATGAATTCCCATTTGGATGCATCACCCAGATCATAAACAAGATCCTGTGAAGAAAACAACAGCAAATTCATCCCACAGTACACAAACAAGATAGAAACTATGAAAGTAAACCAAATACCAAAAAATTAATGTCCAGTACAACAGAAACTTTTTGGATCAATGTCCCTATCTGGACAAATGCACACTTACCCCTCTCCTAACAAAACATTAACCCTAACTTGTCATCAGCGGAATGCTTTTGGGTTAGGGGAGGGGTAGGTGCTCAGTTGCTTAGAGACTGACACTGATCCAATTCTTTCATAATTATTAACGTTTCCTCAAAAAAACTGCACAAATCTACTCCTTAATTTTTGGCAAAATTCTGCAATCAATAAATTTTTAAGGCCACACATACTGATCTGCAAACCTAATCATCACTGCCTACCTGAACACCATGTGAGCAATCCTGCATGTTAACCCAATAGTTCTTGTGATTCCAAACACTTTCAATACCAAGATAAACATTATGTGTAAGAGGGTGACAAACGCCTGTCAGAGTCTCAATGAAGAAGCTTTCAGGAACCTCCCGTTTTCCTGATAGGACCAACACCCAGCAGTGCACCCTTAAACCATGCAGCTTGTCTGGCTTGGGCTTTTCAAGCTCCTACAAAAAAATAATTCAATATGAACAAAAATGATATTTTACAAGATCTAACTTCAAAGTATTTGGTTTGATTAATTAAAAGTGACTTCATTTTAGAGACTCACGGCAATTCTTGCATTTTCTTCCTCGCGCCTCTTCTTTTCCTTTCCATCTTCTTCTGCTTTCTTCTTCGCCTCAACTTTAGCTTCAAACCTGCTTCTTAAATCTTTGGGAGGTTTCACAGTGTACTTTTTCACTTCTTTTTTCACTTCTTCTTTTGTTACCTTTTTAATAAAACAACCCAAAGTCAAACCGTTTATTTTTTGCATCACATTTCTTGACTAACTGTAAGTATATATCAAGTGTTAAGCAGACACAAAAGGCTCAAAATAACAGCTGCTCAGCAAACAATACATGTCAAATATAGGTTTTGTCCTGTCAACTCCATGGATGGCCAGACATTTTATCCAGTTTTTTATTTTTTTAGAAGAATTAATACTGAGCAGGAGCCTGGTGGTAATGGGCTCCTGTTCCAGGCTAATTTTAGGTTTTAAATACAGCTGTACCACTTTTTCTGCAATGAGTTTGAGGCTGCATGTAAAGTAAAACCAATTAGTAAATGCATTTGTTTTACAAGAAGGGGTATTTATAAACTAAGATATTATGTGATGAATTTCATTAACAACTGCCTAGTTCCCCATTCAAAGAAGCATGTTTTTTTAACATACCTCATCTTTTTTCCTCAGAAGAGGACATATTTCTCTTGTTTCATCCATAAGTGTTGTTTCTCTGGTTGCATATCCACAGACACAGTAAGCATCATAACCCGCCCCAATGAGCAAAGAGCACAGCAGCACACTAAAGTCAAAACAGTTTCCCTTTTGACAAGTTAGGATAGTTGTAGGGGACACCAGTTCACTTGGCTGACAACACAAGAAGATAATATCACGTTATTCCTATAGCTTAGAGCTTAATATGTCAAAGATATAGTTTGGCACACAAGTTACAAGATCCCCCCAACACACACTCTGGCATGAAACAACTGGGAGTTTTGCGAATCTCTTATGGGACAGCATACTGCTCCAATACAAGCTGCCTGTAACCCTAACCTTAAGTCTTATTAAACATTTTATCAGGCCTCTCTAACCATTTGTTGCTACTGTAGGGGTACTGATATGAAACTTCTTGACCATGTGAACCCATGGTTTCCTTCTTCTCTCCCCGGTGTAAGGGAGTGGTCAGAAAGAGAAGTGAATTCCAAAATGAGGTTTAGAGTCCTAAGCAGAGATAGAGGCACTGTGAAAGTAAAGTGTCTTACCCAAGAACCCTACACATGACCTTACCGGGGAGGAAACCTGGAATTCTGCTGCGCAAATCAACTGGCTAATATCAGGGACCACTCTAATCAGTAATTATTCCCAGCATTGAAATACAAATGTCACACAAGCTGTATAACATTTAACTTAAACTGAATCTAATATACATAAACATAATGTGTAATTATACAAAGAGAACATTGAAATAAGATATATGAGGAAACCTCTTTTATTCATAAAAAAAGTAGACTTACCAAGTCAATTGGTGGATCTAATGGAAAAAATGTTAAATAGTCAGAAACAAACTGTGCACAGCCATCATAATCATAGATCTCCTTGTACGACAGAAGAGTTGGGCGAATTGTTGTACACACAAATTTCTGAAACCAGAAAAATTGCATAATTAAATAATCCAGTATCTATTTTGAATCAAATGCACCAATCTATGTCAGCCCTGAAAGTCTCTTGGTTTCAGAACCCTCACCCTAATCCTAAGAACAATTCTCAAGTCTCATATGTGTTCAATTAGCTAAATCTCCAAGACATTTTGATATTTTCTCCATAAAAAGAAGAAAAATCTTAATTAACCCTTTGAGTGACCAAGAAAGAATTTCCCCTACAACATCAACCAGATAAGAGATGAGGATAATGAAAAATGTCAATTTGGGGAAAATAAGTTGATCTAATTCTAAATTCTCTGAACTAACATTATAAGAATTATGTGGTTGACAGTAAGGAGAACTACAAATTTGCTCTGGGAGTTAAAGGGTTAAAAGAAAAATTGAGGGTCTCCTGTTGAAAAGGTGATTGTACTCTTGTTAATTTTGAGCTTTTAATGCATTTAGTAATTCCCCTGTCTTATTACCTCTATTCCACATTCATTCACAGGATTTAAAAACAATGGCTTTCGATCACGATATAGGTGAACAAATTGACGTCTAAAGTTTTCACAAAATGACAGCAGAAGCTTCTCTTTTGGGGTATTGGACTTGTAAGACTCAGGAAGAGAGGCCCTGTCTGCATCTTTGTTTCTGCAAGAGATAAAAAAAATTTATATTTACTGTAAATAGATTTTGTGTATTAAGTTTTATTTTCATGTTCATAGAGTATTAAAACAAAGGATTATTCCAGGAACACACTTTAAGACTTTTAACATAACATGGAAGACACATGCAAGGGTTTCAAGAGGAGAAAGAAGGCTCTCAAACAAGGATTATCCAGGAACCTCTATTCCCCAAAGTCTGACAACTGTAAACATTTCCATTTCATTGAGACTGGTCAACTGTTTACTGACCAATCTCTATAAAGTTCAGGGCATGCTAGAAAAAACCCAGATTCTCAAACTAACACCATAACTGTTTCCAGCTTAGCCTCCTCTCACACAATTTAATTCTTCCTTGAAAGGCAATAACTTTTAATGAACAGTTCTGGTGTTCATGGTTTTCTGAGTGTCACACACGGTGATGTTACACAAGCTAATTTTTAATGTCATTTTTTGAGCCACCTTGGACGACTTAACTTATATAACACAATGAATGTATGGAAGCCATGGACTGAGGTGGTCCACCGACAAGATCGTCAGAGGTAGTCTATTACACTATGCTGTAAGTGTATACAAAAGTGGTGTATACACCAGTCCACTCATCTTATGTACGCCCCTGTACAAGGAGTCTCCAACTTATGGTAGTACGATCGTGTTCTGCTGAATATTCTACCATTTTCTTAATAACAATGCGTGAACCAAAACTTTATAGAGATAAATTTTAGTTAGCTGTCTGCATATGCATTAGAGATCGATTCGTACACAAACTTGAAATTACAAGCCAAGGTGAAAGATGACAACAACTCACGGAAGTGTACTGATATCTGGCGCAGTAACTTGAATTTTTGCTAATTCCTTCTTCAGGGACTCCATATCAGTTGGCTGAAATGATCACTCGCCTTTATTTAAACTCTGACTTTACACATTGCCTCACAAATAATTTCAATAATTTTGTTTGAATCTTCTTAGCAACGACAGCTTGGTAGCCACTCCCTTTTTCAAAGCCGGTAAAAGACTGAGAGTGAAATTCGGGTACTAGGACCCAATCTCCCGAGAGTAGTTGCATATACGTTCTGCTCTGATTCTGTGTTTGCACCGAAGAGGTGTTTTGCTTCTCTGTGGAAACCGTGACATGAGAATTTTTACCTCTGTAAAGCCCTGTGGAAACGACCAAGCGTTAAGAAATGTCGTTTAAGAACTATCCTGCGCGTGGAGGCTCTGTTAGACACCTTTCAAGCTTTCCTCAATATCAGAGCCTAGCAGAAACATACGGTTGCTCTGCGGTGCACAAGTCGTTTCTTTCAGATTACTTTGCTCGGTGCTCTAGCCTTTATCACCTTGATTTACTGGGACATTATGGTTGTGTAAATGCCATAGAATTCTCAAATAATGGCGGAGAATTCATTGTTTCAGGTTTGGATGTGATATTTCTATTATTATGACGTTTTTTGTTCATTGTGCGTTCCTATTGGCTGATGCGAATCCATCATATAAATCATAAACTTAATTGCACGTTTGATTCACGTTGTTCGAACTTTGCTGTTGGTGATACTGCTAGGTACTACCAAAAAAAACAACAACAACAACAACACCACACTGGATATCCAATCTAACTTTGACTTGATTGTCATGTTCTCCTATGGGAACACCTCTTAGCCCTGTAACCCTTTATGAGTGATCAAGACAGAATTTCTCCTAAAAATATCAATACAACATCAAGTAGAAAATTTATGAGAATAAAGAAAAATAACAACTAGGGGATTAGTATCTGATCCAATACCAAATTCTCAGAACTAAAATAGGATAGTAAGGAGAGTTACTGAGATCTTGGGAATGAAAGGGTTAAGTGAAACTTTTGCATAACAAAAATGCACTTAGAGGGTTTTTAGAGCAGATCTAGTCAGGTAGAAGTTTATTTTGTTCAAACCTTTGTTTTAAGGTGGTGATGATCGTCGTGTTGTGGTATGGAACATCGAAAAGTGTGTCTATGGAACTCAACCTCCAGTGTCAATGAAGGGAGAACACAAGTCTAACATTTTCTGTACTGTTTTTGATAATGACAACAGGCATATTTTTTCAGCAGGTAGGTTAATAATGCCTTAAGGTCATAGAGGAATCCATTTAAAATTTCTCCTCATATTATTAGAACGTAAACACAACTACAACAGGAATTTCTAACCAGCATCCAAACTGGATGTTACCAAAGTTTTATTGAACCAAATTTTGTTTCAGACATGAAAGTGTGTTGCAGTAACCATTATCATATCAAAGTATTTGACTGTCAATCTGTGTAGTGCTAGCGTTTTCTATCAGTACTTTTCCACTTAACAGGCAATGACAATCAAGCCCTCAGGCACAATTTCACAACGTAAGTACAATAACATTTTTTAACAAGTGTGCAACTTTCTGTAATATTAACAACTTACTCCAATCAGACAGAATTAAAGCAACCAACACATCTGTATGGGTTTTGAGTGCAGCCTGGATAACAGTACCTCTCTCTACCTTGGAGTGTAATAGATATTTATTTACAAATAGTAGGTAAACCAGACAAAATTATGAGGTGATGGACAATCATATGCTCATGGGTGGAGAGAGACACTTTTAGTCAGAGTTAAGGGTTTTGTCGAAGAACACAACACATTATGACCCTGTTTGTTCTTTCACCTAGACCTCTTGACTTGGATTCCAGAGTACTAACCTTCAGGCCACCATTTAGATAATGTACACAGCCTTCTAAATACCTCTTTCTCTCTGGTTTTTAACATTTTTTTCTTCCTGAATTATATTAAGTGGTGAGACAGTTGGCATGTACTACCATGATGACCCAGTTTATGGCCTTAATATTCACCCAGAGGATAACAATGTGTTCTTAACAGCTTCTGATGATGGAAAAGTTATGCTTTGGGACATAAGGGCATCTCCAGTTAGTGGTATGGAACTTTTTTGCCCCATTTTCTTCACAAACTGTTGCTTGTAAAGGTTAACAACACACATTTTTTTGTTGATCATATTGTGTAATCTTCTGGGTGAGAGTAGCACAGAAAACAAATGATGTTAGTGAGTTGAGTTTTGAATATGGAAACAGAAGTCCTCCAAGGAGAAGATCCTGGTCTTGTTGCCCAGCGCTCAGTACGAACTTGTAAACGTACCAAAATGTAAAGAGGTAATCTTGTTCAGACAATATCAGCCTTCTTTAGAGGTAAATATGTTAAAGGTAATCTCATTAATGTATTCATAGGTTCTTCCACATGTATTGCTCGTCATGAATCAGCTTTCCATGCTGCTGTTTTCAATCCAGTGGACCCTAGTTTGATTGCAACAGCTAACTCCAAGAAAGGTGTCCAGCTTTGGGATGTCAGGGTTCCAATCAGGTTTGTTGCAAATTATCTGTTACTTTTCCATACTTTTTCACCCAACAGTTCAAAAAAAGCATGTTTCCAACCCCCCTGATTTAAAAATTATTTGTTATATTAGAAACTGTGTTCACTGTATGGCTGAAAAAAATGTCTATTTCTTGCTAGCTGTTGTGGGGTGGAAACTTGATTAATGGCAAGGGGGGTGGCCCACCATGAACTAACAACATGTCAAGGAGGGGTAGATGCACTATCAGTTGCTTCATGGTTTGGAAATAACATAAAGCCCCCTTCCTCCCTCCCCCCCTCTGTTTCTTTAACCTTACAGGTAACATTTTAAGAAAAACCTTAGAACATCATAATAAAGTATTTGCTGTGGCTGAAAAAAGCTTAAGCACAGACATCAAGAGATGATCAATGTTGATTTACTCTTTAGTTGTTTAAGGCAGTTCAGTTATGGAGCACCTCAGATGTGTGCCATGGGGTTAAAATGGAACAGGACAGGTGACATGATAACTGCCCTTCGTCGCCGCCTTCCTCCAGTTCTTTATCATGTTACTCGGTCTTCAGCTGTGGCTGAGTTCCACCACCCCGGCTACAATAATGTGTGCACCATGAAGAGTAATTGTTTTGCAGGAAGCAAAGATCAGGTGATTATTTTACCCAGGGCAGTGTCAAAGAATAGCTGATTGTGAGCTACAAAACATGTTTAACTTCTACAAATTGAGTGGGGAGGAGGGCACTGTTAGAGAGTACTATGTAACTTTTCTTAGGGGGTGGGTTGTAGAAATCAGCAACTTTGTCCTGGCTTAGGTGATTTTTTACTGTGTGCTGAGACAAATGATGGCTGATCCTGAGCTGCAAAACATCTTTTCTCTTTAGTTTATAGCATCTATAACCTTGGAGGGAAGTGGAGGGGAGGGGGGGAGCACTGTTCAAGAGTGGGAAACTTTCTTGAAGGGTTAGGTGGGGGGAGGAGCGTAAAAATTGGTAACTTTGTTATGGCAGGTAACTCGCATTGTTGTCTGTATCCATGTTTGTGGATATTATCAAACCATATTAGTTGTAATTACACAAATTGTTTCTTGATTTAGAATTCTGAGAGACTCAGTAACAGACTGTAAGATTGACTGGTGTTGTTATTTGTGTTATCTCTAAGTTTGTTGTCTCTGGCTCTGATGACTTCAATATTTACATCTGGGAAGTGCCAGATGATTGGGCAGATCATGACAAGGTGCTGACTGTTGGTAGGGCATTCATGGTACTTCATGGTCACCGCTCCATTGTTAACCAAGTTCGCTTCAACCCCGAGACACATATGCTCTTATCAGCAGGAGTAGAAAAAGTGATAAAGGTTGGTTACATTATCATAAACTTTGAGAGTAGAAGGCAAGTAAGAAATAGTAGGCGACTTGGTTTTTTTGGACAATGCTGTGTAGTCAGATTACACATGAGACTGGGAATCATAAAATTTGCACAAACCTTGAAGCAAACTCTGAAAGGGGAATCAAGTCACCTATCTAAAGAGGTTACTGGAATATTATGCACTCATTCTACTCAAAAATTGGGAAATGGCTGCTGTGCAAGTTTCTTCAGTGGTATTACAATATTTGTATGATTTTTTCCTCACCTTTTATGGTTAAGTGAGATGAAAGTAGTCAGCCTAAGATGGCAGATCAGCCATGCATTTTGGCCAGCTACTGGTCTTGTTGACAGCTCTGAGTAGCACATGGAGTGTGTGGTGTTCTTTTCTTCCAATATGCTTCTCGCACAATTGTAATTATGATAAAATACATATCTGTATGATTTTATGCAATAGGCATTTAGAGAATGCAGTTTCAAGGCAGTGTAGAATCAATCTGGAAATGTTACTTCCTCTAGGTATGGAGTCCTTTCCCAGTGCCAAGAGGGTGTAGTGAGATGGACACCAGCCATAAAAGCCGCCGTGAGCTTTATTCTCATAGCGATTACCTAAGTTTTATTCAGTTTGGTGGCCTACCTCTTAATCATGATGAATATGAAAGCAAGTCAACTGCAGAAGACCCTCGTATGTTAGCTTTCTTTGACTCTTTAATACAGCGTGAGAAAGATAATCTCCACTCTGACTCAGAGGACAGCTTATTGGATGATTTCCACCTTAGTTTTATCCTTCAGCCTGATAGCAGTGAAGAGAGTGATAGTGATACAACTGAGACCAGCATGAGCCACCTGCTCCTGAGAGAACTTCTTCATCGTCCAAGCTCAGAGACACTAGAGGGACGCGCAGCTATAAACAGTTCAGGACAAGGTGTGCTTAGACGGCTGAGAAAACTCAGGGACACTGTTGTTATTCGTGATCTGCTTAATGCAGGTAGCAGTAGTACAGACAGCGAGGAAGGCAATCATGTTAAGGTTGTTGTGCCTACATTACCTAGTGATCTTGAGAGTGGTGAGGGCACTACACAATCTACAGTTCAGTTTAAAAGACACAAACCTCACGCAAAAAGACAATACAGATCTCGAAACAGATCAAGAGATGTAGATGATACCTCTTCATCAGAAAGTGCTAATGAAAGTGACTATACTAAGCAGAAAATACAAATAAGAGCTGATAAGGCCGATTCTATTGAAACCAGTAGCAGCAGCAACAGCAGTAGTAGTGGTAGTAGCAGCCACTCAGAGAGAGATTCCAGGAAGTCAAAGGGATACAGAGAGAATACAGAATCCAGCAGTGATGATGCAGAGATTTGCAAGTTGTCACACAAAAGAAGAAAACTTAACAGGGCAAATTCAAAGAATTTATCTAATAACCTGAAAACTCAGGGAAATGAATGCAGGGCAACTGAGGTCAACACCAATGGAACCATAGAGAATTATCAACAGCTGGATGGCAATAATGGTGAAGACAGTCAAAATGCAAACAACATTTTACATGGAGAAGGAATAATAAATAGTGATAGGTGTGAAGCTTCTCAAACAGATTGCTCTTCAGATTTGCATGTGAGTAACCAAACTGTTACCTCTCATGAGAGCGTCTGGGCAGATCATTCCAGTTACAAGCCACGTGGAAACCAAAAAAAGCTCTCATGATCAGGGGGATGATCATGAGGAATCAAGTAGACAATCCTTTTTCATGTAAACCCTTCAACTCCCAGGATCTTGGTGATATACTTTTTCTTGGTTTTAAAAAAAAAAAGAAAAAGAAATTGGGGTTACAAAAGTCACACTCCCTTGTTTGCTGGATACATTTTTTAAATTGCCGGGGGGAGTAACACTAATGGTTTTGTGAAGTGAAGGATTAGTGAGAGGCTTGCTGCTTGATGAACATCCCAAAGTGTCCAAATAAGCTTCAGGAAAATTCATGAACACAAGTAAAATGGTCAAGCATGAAATAATATATTCATGAGTGTCCTTAAGAACCTAACAAGTTCTGAACTACTTGTTGAACAATAATTGAGTTTCAAAACTTCACTTATGAGGGTTTATGAGCTATGGATTATAAGACTAGATAAACAGTTCCTTCATTTGAAACCATTCTCAGGTTTATCCTCAGGTAGTCAGTCCATCCAATGCCTCAAGTTAGTAAAGGTTGCAATGATAAGTGAAAGTGGAATATATTGTTCTTTGGAATCAGGTGGTAATGTGGGACAAGGAGGCAACTGGTTCTTGTGACTCTTGTCTTAAAACGACTTCCCCTTCTCTTGATGGGTTGAAATAAAACAGCTGATCAGTTACAACTTGTTTGGTTACATTTTACTATTTACAATATGAGAAATCTGGCATAACTTGCCAACCCTTTTCACTTGGTGGGAGCTAACAGTGTTATGGTTAGAGTAATATTCCAAAGTTATTATATTTGAGAGCAGTTGCATTTTCTGATAATTGCTTTCTCTTATACCTCTTTTTCATATCTTTATTCTACAAAAGCTCATCAATTTTCTTGCGGGTTTGAGAACTTATTGTCCTGACTTTGTCCAAGTTCGACAGTATCTTGTTCTAGATGCAATTGTCCAAGAAGAGGCTCTTTTTAAGCAGCTCACTCAAGTTCAACTGGGTATGATTTCCAGTTTCTTGTTCCTTGGGTAACACAACTGACCATACAAGATGCCGGTTGACACCCATTGTTTAGAGCCTCCTTGATCTTGCCAGGCAAGCTTTTTACTTTCCCCAAGCCTCAGCATCAGCCTCACGTGCTCCCCTATAACCACCCAACTCTGCTGATCTGTAGAAGCCTTCAAGAAAGAAAATCAGTGAGAACTACCAAAATTATAAAAATGGGGGTATTCTCTTCATGTGACTTGTCGCCAATAGCTCACAGGGGAATGTTTGCATGTCATAGGCAAACTTCCAGATCGCGGGAGTGAAACAATCGTTACACTAACCTTCCAGAATGGCTGGGTAGTTGTCGTCCATCCACTTTCTGTAATCTGATTGAAATAAGAGATATTGACAAGCCTTGCGAAGATGGTTAAAATAATTTAATTTACTGCAACATTCGATGTGAGATGAATTAAAAGCCCTCATCATAAATTAACCTAAACAGTTTTTTGAAAGCTAACCTCTACTGGTGTTCATTTGATGCCATACCCGATAAGATCCTATCAAGAGCGCCACTTCTCCAACAATTGCTGCTCTGAAGAGTTTCCTCCAGCCAGATTTGCCGGCCATGTCGCTGAGTACTCACAACATCTTGATAAGTTGTTCATATAAGCAACACATACTGCATGCATGTCAGTCCCAGTCCTCATTTTGAACTAATTACGGTGGACGAGATGACTGGGATCTACATACGTGTCGCAGGCTCAATAACATGGCTGCCTGCTTCTGTCTTTCAAACATGATTGTTTAAAATCAACTTAAAGCATTTTTCGTGTTCGTCTTGGACCTGAAGGCGACACTTTACAGAGGAATATGATATCTGTAACAGTTAAAGGTTGCGTATAGACTTTTATAAAGAGAGACATATTGGTGCAGTGAGCGATTCATTAAAAATGGATAGCTCACAAAAACTTCCGTCATATAACAGTGCGACTGCAGCTGCCACACCAAGCATAGGAACGGAGAGATTACTTAGATATCTTCCTAAAAAACAGTCAGAGGTTCGACAAGTTGCCATAGATATTCCAGAAACTGGTAACAGCCAATTGATGAACCAAGATGTTCTTAAAGCTGGCTTGACTGCTCTAGAAAGAGGTATGATCACTTGTGGCATGATTTACACAAGCATCACATAATACACTCGGGTTAAATTTCTGCACTGCCCATACTCCGTAATAAATACAGTTCTTGGATAAAGAGAACTTTGGCAAAAAAATGGATTATGACTAAAGTATGGAGGCTGTTCAGAAATCTTACCTAAACTTGTCTATTAATACAACGTTTGTACAGCTAGGGTAGCATGATTTATATTTGCTAGGTTTGCAAGGAAAAAAGCACCTGGTAAGAAACCAAACAAGATTCCTACACGGCCCCACACATAGTTATGCAGACAGTTCTGGTTGGAAAAAAAAATGGCAAAAACAACAGAAGCCTTTGGGACCATGGCTTTGTGTTTGAACAGTTAGGGGGTATACTGAATTCTTAAGAAACTATAGTTTAATAAAATTGTTGTTACTGTATAAAGGGTATCATTTTTTCATTCATAAAACTACCACAGTAATAAAAAGTAATCTTGTGAGAAATCATGTGAAAGTAGTGTAACTGTTCTTTTTCTCATGCCTTGAATGGTTTACAGCAAAAAGTTTGCGAATGAGAGGGACACTGAATGAAGAGGAACGGGTGACATTGTCAGTAAGTTTCCAATTATTATTTTCCTCTTAATATTTCTCTTATTTGTGTTGTCTTCATTGGCTAACACAAGGATGAATTGTGTAAATTTTGCGCTTTGAGGAATTCTGAAATGTCCTGCTTTGCTAGCAGAGAGGTAAACATGCATTAATTCTCATGGGACTAATCTGTCCCATAAAATTACTTTTTAGAGTGCTATAAAGCCATTTCCACAAAGATCCCAGCCAATTATGAAGAGAGCCAGAAGGGAACTACAGAGTGTTCTAGCTGAGAGACAGGTAAAATCAAATAAGTTTATTGGTGACAACAACAATTTAATTTTTCTTTTGGTTTATCAAATGCTAGTGAAGGCTACAAGGCTGCTTGTGTATTTAGAACTTATTTCTGATTATTTCTTTAACAGGGATGGAGGATCTTCTGGATGATTATTTTAAATGCTCTTTGTTCTTTTGGACTCTTTGTTTACAGTGGATCAACAAATAGTTTAGGTAATATCAACATTTATTCAAAAACAGGATCATTGGTTTGTGCAGTTTTGATTAGCACAGCCAGTGTTTGAGCTATCATAGAATAACTGATACTATCATGCTCTGATTGTTCAAAAGCCTATCATTTATGGTTGCGATATGAAGAAAGGTCAGTTTGCTTTTGAGGAGGTCCTGAAATTTGTTTCTGTGTTGGACTGATTGTTTAACAGTGACACAACACTGTTTTTTTTCCTATCCACTTACTTCCTTTAATGTATCTTCAAAATAATTATATGTTTAATATTATAAAATTTTTTTGGTTTTCTTTCAGCTCTCACATCATTTAGCTACCTGACAATATTTGATTTACTAAGGTATGGTATTGAAAAACAACATTTTAAAACAATCATTTTTCTTACTTTTAAAGTTCTTTGCAGCTTAACATTGTTATTTTCCTTTCTAGTCTTTTAACATGCCTTTTATCACTTTGGGTGTCACTTCAGAAACCATCCACAACTTTTTCATTTGGGTAAGAGTCTTTGTCAGTGTTAAATAGCAGTTAGAAACCAGAAGATATGAGCTGAGTTTTTGTGTACCACAGTCTTGTCTCATTCAGTGGTCGATATATTCTTAGGCAGTAAGGTGATAAAAAATACAAGAAAATGTCAACTTGGAAATACTATTTGATTTAAAACCAAATTCGTTTTCCAGTATAACCACTTTGCACTCAATCATTTAAGACATGTCGAAGCTTTCTGGCTATCATTATTTTCACTTCCTAGTTATGAGAGATTTGAAGTGTTGGCGGTATTTACTACCACAGTGCTTGTGATGTTTGGAGCTCTATTTATTGTTAAAGAAAGGTAAGCATAATTTTTTTCAATTGTCGTAATGTTCAATTTTCTAGAGCTCTATCTCAAGAAGTTGAAATGCCTTTGCATCTGCACTTGTTAGAAGCTCCTGTCCTTTTGATAATGAAACATCAGAAAACTTTCAAATTTTTGTGTAATCCATTGTTTACTGATATTATTTCCTAGCACTGAAAGGTTGTTAATGCCTCCAGAAGTTATGACGTAAGTTCAGTACATACTGTTACTGCCCTGTTCTTGTTGTTCCCTCTCCTCATGAGTAAGATAAAAATTATTCCATACAACAAATTTTCTTGCCTTTTGTTTTTGTGCAAAGTGATCTAAACAAAGATAATATTAAATTATTTATGAGCTTCAAAATATGGAACTTTCATTTGCTTTTACAACACTGCTGTGATAAACGGTTTTTGATAAAATTCTTGAGAAAATTCGTAAAATTCATAAAACAATATTTTCAATATATTTACTTCCATTGAGTGTCTGTATTTGTTAAAACATCAAAAATGTCTTAAGTCATGAACATAACATCTACAGGAGAAGAGTTCCATCCTTTTTCTTCCCTTTCTGTTTCCTTTTCCCACTCGTCTACCATTCCTGTTTTCAAACACTTATC